CCTGTGCCTTATCTTTACTAGACATAGAAGTGGGTTTTTTTTTTATTTTAAATTGTAATTTGAGTGAAAGTTTGCAGAGCAAATTCATTATTCATACAACAATGCATACATATTTCGTTTCATGACACTGACTGCAATCCCCTAACATAACAACTCTATTCTCATTTCCTTCATGGTTACCTTTTCCCTGTGTCCTTCTCACCTATGCATTCCTGCCCTCTGAGCTATCTCCCTGTGCAAATAGTGCCCTTCCGATCTCCCATCGTTGAATGTTCTAGGGAGTATACCTACCTTGTGTAAATGCTCACCTTATACACCTGTCTATCGTTTGGCTGGAAGCCACAGGAGTGAATTCAATTCAAGGCCCAAAGGGTCACTAGAAGCCATGGTCTCAGGGGTTTTACCAGTCTCTATCAGAACAGTAAGCTTGGTCTTTCTTATGATTTTTGTTCCACACTTTTCTCCTACTCTATCCAGGATCTCCTACACTGATCCCTTTCCAAATGGTTGTCAGTTGTAGCCTGGCACCATCTAGTTCTTCTGGTCTCAAGGTCATGAAGCTGCGTGATCCACTAATTCCTTGGACTAATTGCTACCACGTATCTTTGATTTTTCTTCATTCTTCTTTGCTCCAGACAAGGAGCGACCATTTGTTGCATCTTATATGGTAGCTTGCAAGCTTTTAAGACCTCAGTTGCTATTCATCAACAAAGGATGTAGAACAATGCTTTTGTGTAGTATGTTATGCCATTGGAGCTTGATGTCCTCCATGACCATGGTCCTGAGCTCTTGGGCCCAACAACTCACTTCCTCAGGGTGATTGGCTGTGGCTAAGAAGTTATCATAACTTTGCCCCTGTTAGCTCTATTATACATATGGACATTCTTATAGCACATACAAACACGTATGTAGAATTATCATCTGCCAAGCTTATATATAAAAAAAACAAACTCACTGCCGTCAAGTTGGATCTGACTCATAGTGACCCCTCCTTGGGTTTCCAGTGCAGTACCATTAAGGAAGTAGATTGCCCAATCTTCCTTCCGAGGAGTGGCTGGTGGGTTTGAATCACCAGCCTTCTGGTTAGCAGTCAAATGCCTTAGGCATTATGCCACCAGAGCTCCTAAACTTATATATGGTCATGAGTATTCCCTTTTGCCTAAATATATCTGATTATTCAACCTGTCTACCTATGTATTTACCCACAGATTAATGTTTCTTATTACTGATAACGCAGTACTATGTATGGAAAAGTGTTTATCTTTGCAGTCTGTACCTCTTATGTACCTCTCTGTGTCTTTCTTTTCCTTAGTGTTAATGTTGGTCACTCGCTTTTGGTATTTTCATTTATTTTTAAAGTGAGTTTTCATAGTATGTGTTTTTCAAGGAATTGGTCTATTTAAGTTTTAGAATTTGTGGACATAGATTTGTTCATGTTATTCCTTTATTCTCCTTTTAATGTCCATTGGGTCTGTGACAATGCCATCTCTTTCATTCCTGATTGGTAATTTGTGTCTTTTTCGTCATTCTGGCTAGAAGTTTATCAATTTTATTCATCTCATCTGTGGCTATTTTAATTGCCAAATCCATTGGTCTCTTGTGTGTGCTCAAATGACTTGGCTCCCCAGAATCTTTTGACATTTTTAAAAGCCTTTGACTTGTATAACACTCCTCTTCCTCTGTGCCAGTTTTCTTTCTCATTGTCATTCACAGCTCCTTCCCATCCTTCAAACTCCTGCCACTGTTCTCTATTTTTCACTTTAAAATTGCTTCCTAGGCTAGATAATCTCCTCCATTCTCATGATCTCCTTGCTCACCTACAAACTGACAGCTCACAAATGTCTATCAACAACATAACTCCTCTCTGGACTTGTATTTCCAACACTCTACTAGACATTTAAACCTGTATTTCTGTTTTCAGTAATGAAAGAACCATCCCCCCCAAACTTGTAAATCCCAAGGCATCTTTTCCTCATTCTCATCTTTCAACTTCTCCATCCAACCAGTTCCACTTTCCCTCTACAACATCTCTTACATCTAAGTACCTATCTGGATCCTCTTCCTCATTTAGATCTCTTTGACCTGTCTGCCTGATCTTGACGCTGTATCAATTCTTAGCCAGGTTAATCTATTCTCGTTCCCTATAAACCACTGACAATATGAAATTCAGAGTTATCTGTCTGAATATACATACCATATCATGCCCTCCCTCTTCAGTGTTCACTGCTGGCTCTAGGTTAAAGAGTCTCCCTTTGCTATCCAGTGGTCCCTTCTTCCTCCCAACACTTTGAACAGCAGCCACACCAGCATATCTTCTCCTTAATGGTCATTTCAGGTGCTTTCCTGCTTCCACATCTTGGCTCATTCTATTCCTTGGATGAACTCTGAGTCATGCTTCCAGCAGATTCAGGTGCTACCTTTTCTGTAAGGCCTCTAATTTTTCAAGTTTTCTCTTTCATTAAGGTGTGATAACAGATAGTAAAATGCACAAGTCCTAAAAGTGGATACAATGAGTTTTCACAAGTGTATACACCTCAATCGATATAGCACTGTTACAACCCCAGAATTCCATGATGTCCCTCCTAGTCTCTCTTTTGCCTCACCACAAAGCAATAACTTGTCTGGTGCTATCTATACACATTAGTTTTGTCTGTTCTTGCACATTATAAAAGTGGAATGTACAACTTTATTTATTTATTTTAGTTTCTGGCTTCTTTCATTCAGCATAAAGTTGTAAGAGTGACCCATGATGCTGTCTTGAACTTAATTGCTAAGTGAAAAATGTACCACGGTTTGTTTATCCATTTACTCACTGATGAACATTTAGGTTTTTTTTTTTTTTTGGTGGGGAGCTATATGAATCTATTTGCATCCTTCTCTGCCCTTCCTTCTTCTAAGCACACAGCATGACAGTTTATTGTACATGAGTCTCACTCCCCCACATAACTCTAAGCCCTTTTGCAATAATATGTAAAATTTCTTACATGTGACAGGAACTATGCTAAGTACTTTACTTGCATTAACTCATTTAGTCATCACAAAAATTCTGCTAAAAGGGCAGGGAGACAGCATTTTCTGACCTCTAACTTCACAAGAGGAAAATGGAATCATCAGCAGCAGCCCAAGGCCTGTTCCTATGAGGTCAGACATGCTGCCACCCTGCAGCCCTCTTCCAACCTTGACCCCAACTGTCCCTCCCATGGCACCCACCACCTCCCTCCTGGGTTCAATAATTCATTGCAGTGGCCATAGAGAACTCAGACTATGGGGTTTATTAGGGAAGCAACAGGCTACAATTCAAGTTCAGAAACACAGTCAGTCTCTCTCAGCTGGCTGTCTCTCTCAGCTGGCAGTCTCTCTCAGTAGCGCACCTCTCAGCAGTGCGTCTCTCTTGCATCTCTCTCTCAGCAGCATGCCTCTCTCACATCTCTCTAAGCAGCACATCTCTCAAGTCTCTCTCACAGCAGCATGTATCTCTCAGCAGTGTGTCTCTCTCAGCTGGCAGTGAGCGATATACTTCCTCTGTCTCCAAGAGGGCTCATTTTCAGCCTGACAGAGTAGCAAAATTAACCAGTCCTAACATCAGAGTTCTACACACCTGAAAGAGAGCGAACTTTCCCAGAAGATTACTTTGTGCTGCCCCAGGTGAATGACTTTAACAAGCAACTATTCAGTTGCTCACAGCAAAGATATGGCTAGAAAAGCCATACCATGCAACTCTCACTACACTGCAAATCCCTGAGGTTACTTATACTCATGAGTAGAGAGGAAACTGAGGCTTACAGAGGTCAAGTTATTTTTTTAGGTTAATGTATCCGGCAAGCAGCAGAACCAAATCAGAAACTGTATTTGCCCAATGCTATCATCCTAAACTCTTAACAACTGTGCCATGATACTGGTGCCTGGTAAATCCTTGGTTTTTGATTGTTTGTTTCTTTTAAATTCAATGCTTTTCTAAAGAAATTCAGCACTCATCAGATCTGGCAGTGGTTGTTCCAAGAAGATATAATTTCTTCTTTCCTGGTAGAGCAAAACAATCACCCTTACAAAATGATTCATGATATACTCTTGTTTCAAAGTAGCCATTTTATTTTGTTCACAATCATATGAGTCAAAACTCTGGGAGAGTGCAGTCAAGGAGTTCACTCTTGGGATTGCTCATGTGCTAAAAAGTCAGATGCCAGCTAGGGTCACAGATGTATAGGACTTCCTGGCTGGGCACCCCTGCAGGGGTCTCGGGGTGGTCATACTCCTTACATGGTGGCTGGTTTCCTCCACAGAAAGTATCTAAAGAGAAGCATGCAGAAGCTACAGGCCTTTCATAAGCCAGTTCGAAAGTCACAGAGCATCCCTTCTGCATACTCCACTTGTTGAAACAGCCCCAAACCTGCTCAGATTCTAGGCAAAGGTACAGAGACCCACCTCATGATAGATAGAGAGGGAATTCCACACTGTAGGAGCACTCATGGGATGGGGGACAGTACTGTAGTCATCTGTAGACATTCCATCCTTCATATCCATCCACTTAGGACTGCTGAACTACAGGCATTTTATGTGCAACATTTATGGTAAACATTTTCAAAAAGAGGGAAAACCTCTCTTTGCAGTCAACAGAGTGCTCCTTCATGGAATGTCAGAAAATAAGTGTTTAATACTGGAGAAACTAAATAAGCAGATCCATTTTAAAGTTTGTTTTATGTGAAATTGTTATTTTACTCAGTGTAGGAACAAGGATTGTGTGCTTTCAGAAAACCATAAGTAGTAAATGTGTAACTGTGCCAGTCACCTGGATCCAGATGCATATCATTGGATATTTTGTCCTGCAGCTTATATAATCAAGGGGACTGTGAACACCTCCAAGTGAAATAATGCTATAAGAACTATAACTCAATTTCACCTGAACTTTAATTCTTATAGCAGGAATTGGCAATTTCTGAAATACTTCTTAACATAACTGCCATGGTAGAGCTTAAGTAACAAAAGCCCTGCTCTGAACTTACCTGGCCTCACGAACATGCAGCTGAGGATAATGGTTGTGCCTGTGACATATGTACACGGCAAAGTCCTCCTCAAATGTCAGAGATGGGACATTCCCCACTTGGTCAAAAACAGTTATTAGAGTTGAGCCTAAATCACAGAGATCAAGAAAAGTGGCCTTGTTTTAACAAAGAGTAACTTTAGGTCTTCAAAACAAAATGTAGTTTCCATTTAACATCGTGCTTTAATTGTTGTAACCAAATATGCATATAAGGCATCGAATGCCTTGAGACCATTCTTATTTCCCATTTCCCAAAATCCCAGTTTTAAGCATGAATGAACTACTGGAAATGTGAGGTGGCTGAGTAGGCCTTACCTAAGCTCATGTAGGATGGAACTATGAGGAACATGAAGTGGAGTTCTGGCACTGCTTTAAACACAGTCCTGGGGAGGGAAAGATAGAGTGGACAAGTGTTAATAAAAAAATGTTAGTAATAAATAATAGTAGGCACCTTAATGAGACAAATGCTATTTCTAAAAAAGTGAGGTTATGAGTAATAGTTTTGAGCTACATGGGCTCCTTTACTCCCTACTTGCAAAGGCAAGACCATCCCCAAGGCATCTTGAAGGCAATTTGTTTTTCTTCACTACTCCTTCAATTCCAAACATCCCCTTTTCTGTCTGTCTCATGGTGGCAGACAAAATTAAAGGTGCCACGTTCATTCAGCACACCAGATTTCTGCTAATATTAACCTCTGACCTGGCATCTGGATAGTCTAACATCCCAAAGTGACTTGATGTGACATTCCAAAGTGACCTGAAAGCTGAGGCCACCACCCCAAATGTTTGTGCAGGCTGTCCGAGGTGCATCACCATTGCCAGGCAGTCTGCAGATCATGTTTCCGCACACTGCATTATTCTAGATCCTTCTGAAGTCTATTACTATCGATGAACATTTTTAAATACATCATTAAGGAAAGTTATTGTTAGAAATATCCACCAGTGTGACCCCAAAATCCATTTTAAAAAATAAACTGCACTGTCAACCTGTTTACCTCAAGAGACTGCCAGTTAAAAATGTGAACTGAACAAATGCCAGATTCAAAGAGATAGATTAGCTTCTTTCAGAAATATCACTGTGATTCAAAGTAAATGATTTAATATGGCCAGAGATTACAAGCAAATTAAATATCTCATAGAAGTTCACATATTTAAAAAACATTTAAAACATGCCCATACTCTCTCTTTAGCATCATTTGGCATTACTGGGCAACCTTGCAGGCCCTGCTATGTGCAAGGTCTCTGTCACTCACCGAATAATCTCTTTGCAGCAGCCAACGGAATACTCATCCACAGCCACAAAGAGGTGCATGAAAAGTGTGTTCAGAGGCTGCAAAGAAGAAGGAAACACACATCAAAAGCTGAATTGGCACTGGTCTGGGTCAGACTGGGGTGGAGGAAGGCTAGGCCAACCACAGACAGAGGTACCAGTTATCAGTGGCTGATAGTTTATGTCTAAGTCCTGAGGCATCTAAGCAGCATCGAACTGTTCCGCTGAATCTATTGCCTTCCCTTCTCCTAGCTCAGAATTACTCAAGGAAATAGGAAGAGTCAGTGATTTTGAGCATCGGCCCTCCTCCTGCCTTATACCGGCTGTGCGGCTGTGCCTCTGAATGCAGGGAAGAGCCTGCAGGAGAGTGAAATTGATTATTTACTCAGTGGTCCTGTCCTCAGGGGCGAGTATGCCTGTGAAAGACAATCACCCTTCTCCTGAGCCCCGGAGTCAACAGCTGCTGCTCTATTCAAAGGACTTGATGGAAAGATTCTCTTAGGAATTTGAGGGGTAGATGGCAGATGCCACATTATGAATCCAATGGCTTGTTTTGTTCAACATTCCCAGAGTCAGAATCAAACATTTCCTCTTGGGATCCTGAAAACCTGGGAGCTAAACACTCAAAGCAGCAAGAATCCATCATGACTTTCAAGTTAAATCTTTTGAGCTTTAAGACAACTTTTTACCCATAACTTCTGAAGATTTTTTAACTAACTTAAATAACCTAAATAATATATAGGAGCTCTGGTAGCGTAGTGCTGAAGGCACTTGACTACTAACCAGAAGGCTGGTGGTTCAAACCTACCAGCCACTCCTTGGAAGGTTGGGCAATCTACTTCCATAGTAATACCGCCTTGGAAACCCAAGGAGGGGTCGCTATGAGTCAGCTCTGACTCGACGGCACATAACAACAACAACACAAATAATACATAATTGTTCTGTATACTCCCGTATCAGCCTGCTCTGAGAATATGGGCAAATCTTCAAACCATAGAAGTAAACACAAATGTGAAGTGGTTGGCTGATTAGGGTATTACTAGTGCCCAGGCCACGATGAGTCGGGTCCAACTCGATGGCACATAACAACAACAAAGTGCCCAGGCCAGGAAAACAAGAGTGCTTTCTGTTTCTTGTGTCAGGGCAACTTTCTAGGTGACCTTGGGTTACTAACTGCACATCCATATGCCTTACTCTGTACTCCTGTGATGGTGTGTACCTTACAAGGAGCTGTTGTTATTGTGGTTAGCTGCTGTCAAGTCAATTCTGACTCACGGTGACTGGATTTAAAATTGTGAGAAGAATCATGAGCTTTATTTATCAGCCTGAAAACTCCCAAAAAGCAAACAACACACTGCAAACTCCAAAGTCTAGATAACAACAGCAACAGCAGCAGCAGCAGCAACAACACAACCACATATTAACTCATTTAATCCCACAACAACCTTACTCAACATCTGCTTTATATTCTAAACAGTACTAGCCTTAGGCGTCCTGGTTTACTGCTTGCTGATTTGTCTCCAAATTTCTCTTGACCATTATTAGAAATATTACAATTCAAGATTTATTCTTAACTTTTAAGATAAAGATCATTACTTCAAATGCAAATACCCCTGAGAAAGAAAATGCACTAGGCCTTAGTGTGCTATATATACACAGTCCAACAGAAGAATAATGTAAGCCACAAATGCAAGCCATGTATGGAATTTTAAATTTTCTAATAGACACGTTTTAAAAAATAAACAGGCGAAATTAATTCTTATATTTATTTTATTTAATCCAATATATTCAAATTATAATTTCAACATATAATTAATATTAAAATATTTATGAGGTATTTTACATTCTTTTTTTATACTAAGACTTTGAAGTCTGATATATATATTTCATACTTGGAGCATATATCATTCAGACTAGCCCAGCTCTACAAAGTGAGAAGTTTAAAATAGAAACAATCTTAGGAGAACAAGAAAAAGAACAAAAAAGAGAATAGTATATGAATCACATAATTTTCAGAAAGATAAAATCATGACTATCATGCAAATATAAAATGAACATATGCCAGAGATTTATTCATCTCATTAGTCAGTGAGGTGACAGTGGCTACTTAATGAATGGGAAGAGCACCTTACAGGCAATTTGATAAATGAATGTTAGAAAGAGATGGCTGGGTTAGATACAAAACCAATGAGTGTCCTCTGGGGCCATATGCCATCACCTCTGAAGTTCTCTCTTCTACCAGACAGAAATTATTTGTACCTCCACTGGATAAAAATCAACAAGTTCATTGATGTCCTTCCAAAAAAGCTAAACTCATTGCCGTCAAGTCAGCTCTGACTCATAGCAACCCCTCCTTGGGCTTCCGAGGCAGTATCACTACAGAAGTAGATTGCCCAGTCTTCCTTCTGAGGAGTGGCTAATGGATTTGAAGAGCCAGCCTTCTGGTTAGCAGTCAAATCCCATAGACAATAGGGCAGTCAATAAAAAGTCAATCATAGAGGCAAGCACTGAATTGAAAGAAGACCTGGAAATCTTTTTTCTGTTTCCAAGTTTGGGATAACTTCCTGACGATAATATTTAGTGCAGAGAATGGGTGTTGGGTGGGAGGAAAAGCAGCACAGAAGATGTCATCATGTGCACTGAACACTGACTGATTTGCTGGAATATATGAGCATTTGCATTCAAATCCACTCATGTACTCAATTAGCATTCCCTCTTTTTCTGACACCAGGGCTCTGGATATTATGTGTTGAATTTTCATCAACTGGCAAGTGTGCAGCCAGAAGGTGCAGCCTCTGGCTTTCTACAAAAAATGGGACCAAATGCTGGCCAGCTCTGGCAGGCCATATGCGGGGAGTGCTCAGAACTTGGCACCAACTACCAAGGCTGTACTCACTGCAGGTACCACTGACTTTATTCCCCATCAGTTAAGAAGTTGTCACGTGCCCACAGCTAGAAGAGATCAAATGAGCCAGAGTCCACAAGAACACTTTGAAAATCATAAAGTGTGACCTAAATCTGAGGTTCTGCTGTTGTTGAGTGCAAATGTGTACATTACTGGTGTCCTCCTAGGATTTCAAACACTTGGAAACCAGAAGCAGAAGGAAGAATGTGGAAGCCTAGGAAGCACACATTCTGATACTTCCAGTAGTCTTTTGCTCCCCAGTCCTCGTTAGCACATCCAGCATGATCAAGGCCTTGGCAGTGCACACAGATTTGGCTATTACCTACAATGTCTTCTCTTCTCTGTCCTCCTGTTTTCAGGCCCCACCGGGTAGCTTCATATTTAACTGTCAATAGTGTCACATACTTTCTGTCATTAGTTTTGCATTGGTCAGCCCAAAATCCAAAAAGAGTTAATATGCAAACATAGGACTTCCCTTTAAAATTAATAATAATTCTAAATAATTTATTCTAATAATAAAAAAATAATAGTTCTAATTATTATTCTAATGAATATTCTACTTCTAATATTCTAAGAATGTTCTAAGAAGAATTGAATGTGACTCCTTACTGTGCACGGGATGTCACTGTCAAGCTCCCGGAACACTGACACCCAATTGTCCTGCCTGGCAATGTTCCAGTTGGGATAGTCCACAAAGGTGGCCTGGGCCATGATCTCTTCCTTGTCATTGCAGAGGGTAACAGCAAGGTTTGCTTTTTCTCTGTGGAAATGGTTAAAATTGCACACTTGAACAGGATGACTGAAAGAGAAGTATGGATAAGTCATTTTCTCACTCACATGGCTGTTAGAGCTCTGGTGGCATAGTGCCTAAGGCATTTGACTGCTAACCAGAAGGTGGATGGTTCAAACCCACCTACTGCTCCACGGAAGGAAGAGGAGCAATCTACCTCCATAAAGATTCACCATCTCTGAAACCCGAGGGGGATTGCTATGGGTCAGAATCAACTCAATGACAGTGAGTTTGGGTTTTTGGGGGGGTTTTATATGGCTATTAGAGCTTAGCAACTGCTGGATGAGATAGGATTATCCTTTTTAAGAGTTGGGAATAATAGAGCAGCAACTTTCAGGTCATCTGGTGCTATTAATCAAACTTTTATTTAAAATTACATTTCATCAGAAAGATATTTTATATTTTATATACATAGTATTAGGAACTCTGGTAGCATAGTGCCTAAGGCACTTGACTGCTAACCAGAAGGCTGGTGGTTCAAACCCACCAGACACTCCTCAGAAGGAATGTTGGCCAATCTACTTCCGTAGTGATACTACTACCTCAGAAACCCAAGGACGGTTGGTATGAGTCAGGTCTGACTCCATGGCAAATAACAACAACAACAACAACATACATACATAGTATTAAGGAGCTCTGGTGGTGCAATGGTTAAGGCATTTGATTGCTAATGAAAGGTCAGTGGTTTGAACTCACCAGCTGCTCTGCAGAAGACAGATGAGGCAGTCTGCTTCCATAAAGATTTACAGCCTTGGAAACCCAAGGGGGTCATTATGAGTTGGAATCAACTCAATGGCAGTAAGTTTATATACAGCATTATTTTGTATATACATTCAAAACCAAAACCAAACCCACTGCCATCAAGTCAATTACAACTCATAGCAACCTCAAAGGGTTTCCAAGGCTGTAAATCTTTACAGAAACAGACTGCCTCATTTTTCCTAGCATATGTATATTATTAAGTGTCCAATATTCTTCCTTTAGATATTTACTGGACAAATTATTTGACTGGAAACTTTTCCCTGTTCTCTCCATCTTGTCAATACCACTGTGTAAGCCTAAACACGTAGTTAGGATGGTCCAGTCTTGCTGTTTCCCTGTGACAAAGGGGGTGCTCAGAAATACAGGACTCTCAGTGCTAAAACAAGGAAAGTCCCAGGCAAACTAGAATAATTTGGTCACTTATGTACAGTAGCAAAGCTAAGATTTTAGCTCCTTCTATATGAGCACTCTTAACCTTTTTCTCCAAACCCCAAACTGTGTCCCTGGGCTAAGTAACTTATACAGAGCTTAGATATCAGATGATTCAGCTGCAGACATGAAGACCCTGAGAAGTCTTGCTTAGCTCAAGCAACCTCACAATTTAATAAAAGACAAGGGAATAGAAGCAGGCCTTCCAACTGTTATTCTGGTGAACAGTCTCACTTACTAACATGGTTTAAGGAATTTTCCAAGTACAGACAAAACTTATTTCACTATTCTTGATGAAATCGTGGTGAAACATGCCCACATTTTCTGCTTTGTTAAACAGAGTGAACAAAACACAACTCAGTTTTCCCTGCACGTCTATCATACTGGGTTGCATGCCAGTCCTTGTCTCCCTCTCCACTCGTGCTGCACTGTGATCTCTGCTCTCAGTGTGGCAGGTTCTCTTAGCCCTTCCCATCTAATCTCCTGAACCTAATCTGCTACTTTCACCTCCTAAAACTTAGCAAGTGCAAAAGGGGCAAGAAGGTGGCATCTTCTGACCTCCTCTAACTACATAAGAGGAGGACAGAATCACCATCAGCAGCCCAAGGCCTGTTCTCATGAGGCCAGACATGCCGCCACACTCCAGCCCTCTTACCAACCTTAACACCAACCATTCCTCCTACAGCACCCAACACCTTTCTGCTGGGTTTGGTAGTTCACAGCAGTGGCCACACAAAACTCACAGATTATGGGTTTATTAGGGAAGCAACAAACTACAGTTCAAGTTCAGGAACACTCAGGATACAGTTCTTCAGTCAGGACAGTCTTCTCTCTGCTGTGCCCTTAGAAACACCTCTTAGCCAGTCCTCTGTCTCTGTGGGCCATGTAAGCCCGTGACTCTGTCGCATGCCTCTTGGTTCCACTGCCACTGTCTCTCAGTTGGGTGTCTCTATCAGCCAGGCTTCTCTCTCAGCCAGTCATCTGTCTCAGCCAGCAGTGAGATACTCTTCTGCCTCTACAAGGGCTCATTTTAAACCTGGCAGAGGGGCAAAACTAACCAATCCCAACATGACAGTTCTACACACCTGAGAGAGAGTGAACTTTCCCAGATTACTTCATGCTGCTCCAACAGAAATACCCCAGGTGGATGACTTTAACAATTAGGAGTTTAAAAGCAGCTACTCAGTTGCTCAAGGCAAATTCCACCAGGGTTGTCAGTCTCATTATAGGAAATAACTACCAGCTGCCCAGCCACATTGACACCTATTTGCATGGTCCTACACAGTAATCCAACAGCATATAACAACAACAACAACACCCAGTAATCCAGCAGGAGTTACAAAGACTATGGCTAGAAAACCCTTATCATATTATTCACTACACAACAGCTGGACTTTTAGGCAAGATCAGTTTTGCTCGTTACTGTATCCCTTTGACACTGAGTAGGCAGTCAATTAAAAGAAAGAAAAGAAAAAACTTGAATAAATACATGAGGAAAGAAACCAAATAGTTATCTAGTTGATAGAAATCAAGTAGTAATCTAATGCTGCTATAATAGAAATACTACGTGTAGATGGCTTTAACAAACAAATTTATTCTCTCATAGTTTAGGAGGCTTGAAATCCAAATTCAGGTGTCAGCTCTTGGGAAAGGCTTTTTCTCTATTGGCTTTGTCTCTGTTCTCCCCAATATTTGGCTTTAAACCTTTCTGGGCCTTTATGTCTTAGGTATCTCTTACAAATAAAACATAATTTCTTTTGTTTTAGTTTGTTTTTAGCCAATATGCCCAAATGTATCATTTAACCAGAGAATTTTGTCCACCCAAATACATTAATTATGTTACTGACATAGTTCAAATTCTTCTACTTATTACTATTTTGTTGTTGTTGTTATGTACCGTTGAGTCGGACCGACTCACAGCTACCCCTTCTTGGGTTTCCGAGGCAGTAGAAGTAGATTGCCCAACCTTCCTTCCAAGGAGTGGCTGGTGGATTTGAACCGCCAGCCTTCTGGTTAGCAGTCAAGTGCCGTATTATTTTAGTATTCTTTTTTTTTTTTTTTTTTTTTTCTTCCTCTTTTTTCCTTTTTTTAAATTGAAGGTTTTTTTAAATTTCTCATTCCATTTTTCCCTTTATAGATCAGAAGTTATAATCTCTATGCTTATTCTTTAATGGTTATCCTAACCATGTTAACATATATATAGTCCTAATAACGTCTTTACCCTCTGTTCACCAGGATATCAATTGATGTGTAACAAACCACCCCAATATTTAGTGGCTTTAAACAGTTTATTGTCATCTCTCACTATTCTGTCTGTTGACTAGTTTCAACTGAGCAGCTTTTGCTTGGGGTCTCTCTTGTGATGGCAGTCGAATATACCTAAAACTGAAGTCATGTGAAGATGCAGTGTCTAAAATGGCCAACTCATATCTCTAACAGTTGATGCTGGTTGCTAGCTGGGAGCTTGGCTGAGCCTGTCAAGTGAAGTGCCTACATGTGGCCATGTGACTTGAGCTTTCAAGAGCAAGGCATTCTGAGGGAGCATTCCAAGAGACTCCATGAAAAGTGCAAGACTTCTTTTGAAATCCTACATTTCCTACAAGACCTACATTTGAAATCATGCAATATCACTTGTGCTGCTTTCTATCATTTACCCAGTGATGACCCTGATTCTGTTGAGAGGGGACTTCACAAGGGTATAAATTCTAGGAGGTTTGGTTCATGGAGGAAAGGGACTGTATCTTTGTATACTAGCTTCCACACCCTCATTCTAAATAAGACAGAGACCTTAGAAGTACATTCATTCTAACATGACCCTCCCAATTTATATACCGTTTTTCTCCTGTATTTCAATTCTAACTCACAATTTATACCTCACAAAGTAGTCATTATTATCATTACTGTATTATGCAACATGTTTCCTTTTTGTACCCACATATTTGGTCATATTTTTACTTCCATGTTTATACCTTGGGTGTTCAAGCTGAGACAGTTTTCCTTCTGCCCAAAATGAATTTTGAGGAATTTTCTTTATTCACAGTCTATCTCAGGTTTTTTTTTTTTTTTCTTTTTTGTCAGAAAATGCATTCACTTTACCCTATATCTTGAAAATTTTTTCACTGGGCATACATTTCTAAATTGATTTTATTTTCTCTCAAATACAGAAGACATCCCACTGTCTTCTGGATTCCATTGTTGCTAGTGAGAAATCATCTACTAATCTAATCTTCATGTCTTTGTAGGTAATTTTTCTTTTCTCTTTGGTTATGTTTCAGATATGTCTTTAGCTCTGCTGCTCTGCTGTTTCATTATGATGTGACTTGTTACAGATTTCTTTTTATTTATTCTGCGTGGGATTCACTGCATTTTGGGGATCAGAATTGGTGTTTTGCCAGCAACTCTGGATAATTTACTGGTATTGATCTAAAAGTTCACTCATTCCATCTTCAAATGTATCTATTATGATGTTTAATTTTTCCACTGAGATTTTAATTTCAACTATATTTTCATTTCCAGATAGTCTATCTGATATTTTTGCAAACTTGATAGGTCATTTTATGGTCTTTTTGTTCTTTGATCATCTTTTTAAACTGTTCATTTTTTAGATATATTAAACATAGTTATTTTATATTCTTTGTTTGGCTTAATATCAAAAGTCTTTGAGAATTTGCCTCTGCTGATTTTTTTTTTTTTTTCCTGGTGGCATTTATTATGGTTCGCTGTTTCCTTGTATATTTGTGACTTTTGACTGTGAACTCATGCTCTTTGGAACTTCATCTGTGAATATTATTTGAAGTCTGAGTTGACGCCCCATCTCTTCAGACCTGATTTACACTAAGTTTGGCCAGTCTCATGGACATACTACTAGCCTGAGACCATTTTTAAATAAATTCTCCACTTGAAGTTCTTTTGGGGAACAAACATATAATTAGTAAAGACTTCAATTCAACTTGTGCTTATGAATTTTCAGGAGATAATTTATCCTCTTCCATTTATTTCATGCTGACATTGAAAGGCTATTTTCCTTACTGCTTTTTTTTTTTTTTTTTTTTGCAGTAGGTTTACCTCTTGCTCATCTTTATACTGAATATCCCAGTTTATATAGAGTTTTCTAATACTTCTCTCCTTGAATGAGTCTGAGGTTGCTTTATTTCCTGTTCTTTGTGAAGGTGTCAAAACAGAGGCAGGGGGTTTCTAGAATGTGGCAAAAATCCTTAAGGAGAACGTTGACATTGGTTTCTGCTTGTTGTTGTTGCTGTTATGTGCCATCGAGTCGGCCCCGACTCATAGCAACCCCTCCTTGGGTTTCCGAGGCAGTATCACTATGGAAGTAGGATTGCCCAACCTTCCTTCCAAGGAGTGGCTGGTGGGTTTGAACCACCAGCCTTCCGGTTAGCAGTCAAGTGCTTTAGCCACTATGCTACCAGAACGCCTTACCTCTTAGATTTTCTGACTTCATTTTTACAATGTTCTCTGCACAGTCCTTAAGCTGTGATTGTGTGTGTCACTGTTTTAGTTGTTTCCAATCAGAAGGAGTGATTAAGGTGTTTAATATAACATAATGCAAACACTAAAATCATTTCATTGGCATATATATATATACATAATTATTGTGATTTGAGTTAAATTTTACAGAGCAAATTCATTTTCCATAGAGCAGCTCACATACACTTTGTCCCACAATGCAATAGCTTCCTTCCCACTTCCTCCCCATAGTTACCTCTTCCCTGTGCCCTTCCGTCCCATGAACTCATGCCCCCTGAGCTGTCTCCCTGTGCATACACAGCCCTTCTATTCTCTCATGATTGTCAGTGTTCTCCATAATGTAAATGTTCAGCTCATATGCCTGTCTTTTGTTTGACTGGATGCCACAGGAGTGGGTTCAATTCCAGACCTGAAGGGCAGCTAGGGGCCAAAGTCTCAGGGGTTCCACCAGGCTCTATCAGATCAGCAAACCTGGTGCCTTTTATTTTTTGATTTTGAATTTTGCTCCACTTCATTCTCCCACTCTATCCAGGATCTCCTACATAGACGCACCTCAAAGTCATTGACAGTGGTAGCTGGGCACCATCTAGTTCTTCTGATCTCATAGTCATATAGGCTGAGAATTGCATGGTGTACCAGTCATTTGGACTAATTGTTTCCATGCATCTTTGTTTTTCTTCATTCTTCTCTGCTCTGGATGAGGAGAGATCCATTGCTGCATATGATGTCCACTTGCAAGCTGTTATGATCCCAGTTGCTACTCACCAAAATAAGATGAGGAACAACGTTTTTGTGTAGTATGTTTGCCATTCATTGGTGTGGTAGTTCAGTTTGTATGTCAACTTGGCTGGGCCTGGTTGAGTGGCTGAGCAACTGGATGTAGCATTCCCCATGATGAGGTTGATAATCAACTCCATGGCGGAATCTACTGTGAGCAGCTGAGTAGCTGCCTTAGGGAATGTGGTCTGCTTTCTGTATATAAATAGAAGCCTTGGGGAATGGTCTCTAGCTTATGGCATGCGTGGACCCTGAATGTAGCCATGTCATTGTTCCACAGCCTACCGTGCTCTGCCAACCTTGGGACTACAATGGACTTAAATTAATGGCCTGCCATGTGGTTTGGTAACATCAGGACTGAGCCTTTTTACTTGTCAACCTTGGGTTTGTCAGCCTGAGCAGCCAGCAGCTGTCTGAGTGAAGAAACGCCTCTAGCTCCAGTGGGCCGGGAGCAGGAGGCAGAGCTGGACCCCAAGGCTGAGGGGCTTTCACCCAGCTCCTCGAGCCTGGCTCTTTGAACTTGGACTTAAAGCCTCCAAACTGTAAGAGAATAAACTCCTGTTTGTTAAGGCCATTCCATTTGTGGTATTTGTAAGAGCGGCACTAGGTAACCAGAACAATTCAAATATTTTTGAAGCATTTTATACACATTGCTTTACTGCCCTCCAGTAAAATTACATCAATTTACATTACACTCATCATTGTGGCAAATAAGAAATGAAACTTGTAATGTCTTAGGCTGGTCTGAGTTTAAACATTACAATTATATTTAATATGAAGCTTTATGAAGTACAAAATGATGGGCTATCTTTCATTGTTTCAATAAAAATAATAAGAACAGATTTTAAAATATTTATATTCTAGTATTCACAAGAGGTCTATAAATAAATAAAACTAAGAGAACAAAAGTCTAACAAACTTATGCCTGTTTTTAAGAACAGATTTTAAAATATTTATATTCTAGTATTCACAAGAGGTCTATAAATAAATAAAACTAAGAGAACAAAGGTCTAACAAACTTATGCCTGTTTTTAAGTTTAGAAGCACATCATGCAGTTGTTAAGGCACCACTAAGCCAGCTCCAACTCATAGCAACCCTATGTACAACAGAAAGAAACACTGCCTGGTCCTGTACCATCCTCTCAATCCTTGCTATGCTACGCTTGGTATTCATAAAGTTTTCAGTAGCCAATTTTTTCAGAAGTGGATGGCCCAGTCCTTCTTCCCAGTCTGTCTTAGTCTGGAAACTCCACTGAACCTGTCCACCATGGGTAACCCTGCTGGTATTTGAAACACCAGTGACACAGCCTCTGGCCTCATAGCAACCTGCAATCCACCACAGTACAACAAACTGACAGATGAGTGGTGGACATCATGCAGTGGGTAAGAGCAAATTCAGATTATCTCAATTACTAGCTGTTTCACTTTGGGAAGGCCTCTGATTTCTCATCTATAAAATTGATATGATATTGGCTACCACAGAAAGGAAATCAGAAGGATTAGATAAGATGATGTTTACAAAGCACACAGCCAAACATAAAATAAGTCCTCAAATCTGGTATCATTATCTTGCTCCAAGTGATTCCACTAGTAAGTGATGCAATTGAGATTTGAAAAAGTTTGCCTGAATCTAACACCAAAGAGAAACCCTTTCACTCGCACGTTGTTACAGGACTTAGAGATGTGGTTGTCCCTAGAGCTCATCAGGACATATTTTCTTGCTACACATTTTTTCACTGTGAGTGTCCCATGTTCTCACCATAGCCTCACAAGGATGCAGGAGTAAGATCCCTCTCTGATGGGTGATAAACCTGATATTCTTGAGCTTACTGAGCTATGTACTTACAGAAGATAGATGATGTTAAGTCTCCCAAACAGCTTCTGGGTGAATTTTCTAATGAGGTTTTTGATACAATAAATATCCTGTGATTCAGTTCTTCGGCAATGAACCACTTCTGTCTTTCCTCTTGGAGAAGTGAGTATCGACATTTTTTATCCTGCTCCAAAAAGACAGAAAACAGTCCACTAACAATCTAAAATGACAAGTCAGTTAGGTTCCAGTATTCACAAAAGTAGACTTTAACTCAATTTCTCTGTGGTCAGAAAGAACATAACATTCAGAGTACTGGGGCAACACATTTTATCCTGGGGATAGGTTGTGACAACTGACACTGCAAACCAGCTGACATGCTTCTCCACAGAAGAATAAAATTTCTGAGAATTGACCTGTTTAGAAAAATCTGTAACTGTATTGTTTCTAGCAAAGCTGCTTTAAAAATATTCTAACAAGTTTGAAAAAAAAGTGAAAGGAATTAGTTATTGATTCAGTGTCTTCTTATATCAGCCACAATTGTATGTGATGAAGAGCTGCAGAGGAAATGTTTGCAGCTGCTGCCCATGTTTCAAACAGAATTTCCTAAACTGGAGCCCTGAACCTGAAGGACAGGAGTCCTAGGAGATATTTTGTGACCAAAAAAAAAAAAAAAAAGTTCTGTGGCCAAATAAGTAAGGTAGGAAAAAAATGCTGCATGAAAGGCCTTCAGAAGACACAATCCCACTGAAGTCTTTGAAAAGTTCCATAATAAAAAAACCTTTTGTAGAACCCAGCCTTTCCCACACCCTTTCTAAGCAGAATTTCTATTGATAGTGACAGTGGAAGCTCTAATGTGAAAGACACTTTGGGAAATGTTGCTGACAATCCACAAATGATTACAATCTCTCAATGTCTTTCTTTCTTCCTTCCTTCCTCTCTGTTTTTCTCCCTTCTGAAAAACACATCATTAGGTAATAGCCTAAACTCAAAAACAAGGAGATTAATTTTTAACCATTGTACTGACTTTAGGAACAATATAGATCATTTCTAGTACCCTAGAAGGATACCACCCAACTCCTCCCAGTCAATCCTCCCGGCAAATGTAACCATCATTCTGATTTCTATTACATATATGATTTTTGCATGTTTCTGAACTTCATATAAATGGAATTGGGAGCTCTGGTGGTGTAGTGCCTAAGGCATTTGACTGCTAACCAGAAGACTGGCAGTTCAAACCCACCAGCCACTCCTCAGAAGGAAGACTGGGCAAGGCAATCTATTTCCGTAGAGATACTGCCTCAGAAATCCAAGGAGCGGTCACTATGGGTCAGAAGCAACTTGATGGCAGTGAGTTTGGTTTGGTTTATAAATGGAATTATAGCTTATGTATGATTTTCTCAAAACACAATGTTATGTCTTGTTGTTGCTGTTATTTAGATATATATCCTTGCATAATTTTCATTTTGCCAAAGTATCAATGAACTGTACTATCACCGCAGGGACCTGAAAGAACACCAGACTAAGCTCCTTCTTTATGAGATGAGGAATCCTAGGCCCACGAGGTGAAGTGACTTGCATCATGAAATACGTATTTGGTCAGAAATAGAACCTGGGGCATCTCCTTTCAGCCCAGCCTCCTGCCACTCCACTCTGTTTAAATGACCTGTGGGCTGGCTCTGTGGACAAATGCTTACCTGTTTTCACTGTCCACTGGTGTCCAACTGCTCTTAACCATAAAACTTCAGATGTTAAAGGTGAGAGCTGTGGAGCGATGTGAAGGAGAACTCTCTAAAATGTAACAGGTGGCCCTTCCTTGGTGAATTCACACCACCCTCCAGTCTGCAGGCTTAGAAAGGGGTTTTATCAACACTCACAAAGCAAACCCAGCTCTCAAGTATGGGCCTAATTCTCCAAATTCACAGAAACTGACAGAGGAGTCAAAAATGCCAACTAATTCATATAAAAAAGAAAATTAAAAACTGAGCAGTCCAGATATGTCTGCAGGCCAGGCAGCAAAGAAAGAATCAAGTGAGCTAAGCACAATCTGATGTTTTCTCTTCTGATAGAGTCATGGTGGAAGAAAACCATCCCCCAACCAAGAGCATATCATGTGCCACTGTTCTGAAGCCTTGGTATCAAGAGGCAACTGCAGTAACCAGACAGGTGTTGCTGTATGGAAATGGGGGACTCAGAATGACAGCTCTTCATATTACTCAAAGAAAGAAAATATTGGCATTTATGTAACATCTCTAAAACTTGAAATATTGGCTCAAAAAATTGTTAACATTTTGCAGACATAGATAAATACATCTTCAAGTGGGACTCAGTTAGCCTCTACCCCCACTGTGGTAAAGCCACCATCACATTCTCTTTTTGTAGACAAGCTACATGGAAAACCAACCCTTCAGAAGATAGCTTACAGGCAGTGGCATGAGGCTAGCAAATCAGAGCAGCAGGGTAGGAAACACAGCTCCTATTGCTTATTAGCTGTGTGACCTCAGCTGAATTACTTAAACTCCTCCATGCCTCAGCTTCCTCATCTATAAATTAGGATGAGGTATTGGTAGCTCAATAGCATCTTCCATACAAGAAACTCAGGTCCCATTCTGAGTCAATGCACCTCATGCACAGCTCTCTTGTCAGTGTAGGCTTGCATGTTGCTATGATTTTAAACAGATTTTAGTAGAGCCTAGGAAGAAAGAGCTGGTGATCTACTTCCAAAATTCAGCCAATGAAAACTCTATGAAAGAAATGGAGATAAGATGGTGTCCTGCTGACACCCTCTGCCCTATCCCTCTACAACAGAGGCCTGGAAAAATCAAGTGAAATAGGCACAAATAATGATCCTGGAATTCTGAGCATCAAATGAGAAGATAAAAATTAGACTGAACACTGATTGGAAAGGGTGATGTAGTGAGGTCAGTGAAAAGGGAGAGAAAAGAGGCTGAGGTGTACCCAAAGGCATCAAATGAAGATGAGGAGGTGTGGTCATTTTGAACATAGGGGCATTAAATGCAGATCAGGAGGAAAAAGAAAACAAGAAACAAAAACTTTACAGAATCCACACAGCAATAACGATACAGTGTAGCCAGATCAGGGGAAATTTAAGGTGAGCAAATCTTCTGGGGAAGAGAGGAATGTGTAGGGAAGCAGGTCAGACTTACAATGGCACAGGCAGCTGCAGAGAGAGGAGGGAATGAGAGAGAGGGAATGAAATAACACCACTGACAGATGGTTTTGGGCTCTTGGGCTTTTTGGCTGGGGACCTATGTGAGGGGAAAGGCCTATTTTGAGCAGTTGAATAAACTGGGTTTGAGATGATCTCTTGCTTGATTCTATCTAGGCAAGACTGGATAAATGGCTACATGTACTCAGAAGGGCACCAGACCCAACAGTGAATTGAGATTGGAAGAATATGCTCCCTGATCTAAAAAAGCACACCTTTCTTCCACAGAGTGGTAAATATTCTTTCTGCCTCCATAAACCCAATGGCTAGAAAAGCCTCACCCTTACCCATCCCAATCCCTGCACATTTCTAGCAGACTGAGAAAGGGGCTAAAGCTCACCTGCCCAATGTCTGAGGCACTGATACATCTTTTTCACGATGAACACAAGACGCACACCTGTACAGCTTCCTCACTCATAGGCACCCACTCGCACTAGGCACTTCCCACCTCTGCTAATGGAAAGGCCTGTGCTTGGGCCATTCAGAGAAGACAGTCCCAGGGTGGTCTTTCACTAAAGTCTAGGCAGAAGCTGGATAAATAGTTGTACGTGCCCAAAGGGGTGCCAGATCCATGCCAATGAAATGTGACTAGTAAGCCACACTCCTTGCTCCAAAAATGACAGCTTCAATAGGGCCAAAACTTCTCTCCACTACTACCAAGCTAGTGGCCAAGGAAGTCCTGCCCAGATCCCCAAACAACCTCCTCTACAGCCTAGCCACCCACAGCAACCCACTCCAAACAGACAGACCCAAAGGCTGCAGATCTCCCTTCCTGTGCTTGTGTGACTGGATGACCTTTCTCACACTGAGCACAAGAGGCACACAACACACCTGCAGCCTTCTCTACTGGAGTTGCCCATTTACACCAAGCTCCTTTCACTTCTGTGGGCATACATCCTCTTGGATCAGAGGTTTCAACCATAACCACCTGCTCTCAGGGCTGCTGGATGACCATACCTACAAATATCCCTGCTCTTGAGTTTCTTTATCTTCCCCTTATTTTTCTCCTTTCCTTTTCTCATTTTTTCTTCCCTATTACCTGTTCATTTCTCCCTCTTCCACTTATTAAATATTTACCCATCTTTCATCTAGTCTATCCTCACTGTTTTCCCTTTTTCTTTTTCTCTTTTAATTCTATCTTTTTTTTTTTCTTTTTCTTCTCTTTGGGTTTTTTTTTTTTTTTCCTGCCCCATACAACAGGAGGAGGACCTCTCCAGTAGTCAGCCATATCTACTGCACCACCACCAGCACCTGCACCACTGGATCAGTGACAGTGCTCATCCCAACTGCAGCTTCTCTTCATGACAAAGAGCCACACCCACATTCTCACCAATTATTCCACCAACCAGGAGACAGCTGGGAAATGTGTGCCCCAGAGCTGCCAAGCTAATAATCAAAGAAGCACAACCTGCACCACACATCCAGATATATAGAAACAAAGCAAAACAAAACACCAAGATGGAACAAACCAACACATAATCAACAAATAAAGATGGCAACTTCAATTAAAACAAACAAACAGGACAAAATAGTAGAAGCAAGTGACCAAATAGAGTATGAAGAAATCTCCCCAAAGAAGAAGAAGTAACAAAACAATAAGATAACTAATTCAAAAGCTATCCATATAGGACCTTCCCAGAGCTCAAGGAAACTATAAACAGAAGTAAGGAAAAGACAGACAATACCCTTGAAGAATTCAAGAAAATCATACAAGAACAAAATGGCAAAATAAACTATTAGAAATCATACAAAAACAGAAATTAAAAATCCAAAGGATGAACACTAAAGTTACGGAGATAGATAACAATTAGAAGGACAAAAGAGGAGAATCAAACTGGCTGAAGAACACATTTCCCAACAATAAGGCACATCCCTAGACACCAGCTTACATGAGGAAAAATCACACACACAAAAAAAGAACAAAGTGAAATGAATAAACCCAAGAGTTAC